GTACTTCTGTTAGCATCCTGAACCTGTTGCCTTAGAATTGCCAAAAAAGCGAATTAGAAGGACTCTCCAAAATGTGCACTTCATGGGGGAAAAAAAACCAAACACGTTTGTGGCCAAAATATTGGATTTGTAGGGACTATGTTAATGAGAGTAATAAATGACAAGTGCTGCTTTCAGGGTAGGTTTTTTACATTGGATGGGTTTTCCAGTCTCTCACTCAGAGCATCAGAAGATCCTGTAGTCAGAGGTCAGTGTATTGCTCAAACATCTGTCCAGGCTGTGCTGCAGGTATTTGGCATGATGTCTGTGAGGAAACTTTAATTCTTTAGGGGGTCTAGAGTCCTATGGCAGAGCCAGAAAACAAACAAAAATCTCCTTGAAAGTAAAGGTTTTGTAGCATAGCTGAACCATTTCTTACCTTGAATAATTCCAGCTTCTCTCACTGTGTAGAATTTCGTCTTATTGGTGCCATTTCCAATACAGGCTGTCCTTCCAGGGCTGACAGTGCTTCTCATATCTTTTCATTGTTTGTCTGAGAGCCATCTAAAGGACAGACAGCAATTTGTCAGTACAGTTGAGCTCAAAAGTGTGCCTGCAGTGAGTCCTTTCCTTCTGATAGCTGTCTCTGGTAGTTTGGAAACGTAGCCTGGTAGTATGTTTGATCATGGATCTTCAGGTTAACTTTTTTATCACCTACACAGTTTCCCTTCGACCACTTTGTGCACCTTCATTTTAATGTCTTTGTTTTCCAATATGTTTCCACTGGAAGGCAGAATTTCTTGTACAGGTCTACACTTTTGAAATACTTTTTTTCTTATTTCCTGCCCTAATTCCAGAGAATGAAAGTTTGTCTCTGTCAGTCTTTAATATCCGCAGTGTATTTGGTAGTCTTCGTTTCAGTTATCTGGGTTATGTATACCATTATGCAGGTCTTGATTTGTAAGGCCTTTAGTTTTACATCTGGATACCTCTGACGTGTGGAATATCCAAGAGTATTAGTCACATGGCATTCCTCCTAGCAAAGCCCTTAAGCCTAGTGTCAGTGATATCTGATTCAAGAAGGCAGGGAGTTCTTTTTTGTCCCTATCTAGATGATTGCTTGGGACAAGGTAGGTCATCACAGTAAGTGACTGTGATTCACAGTGTCTCTAAATTTTTTTTACTTTATGTGCAAGAAGAAATGCAGTACTTTTCCTTTCTCCTAGAAATTTTTGCTTGGAACACATCCACATTTGGTGGGGTACTTGTCTTGATCAGCAAAAAATGTGTGGATCGTAATTTCCTTAGGGAAACGCAGACATTCAGGAATAGACGCTGTTTTTCGTTTTGTTAAAAATAATTTTTTCATGGCAGTCAAACTAAGGAGGAGAAAGTGTCACATGGGGTCTGAGTGGTGTTGCACAAAAAGCCAAAGAAACCACCATGAAAACTCCTCACTAGGTCACCAGAGGTTTTATCTATGGACGGGAATGTCAAAGAACCTGGAAAACGCTGTGCTATCTTTAGGAAAGAAAAGATGGGTAGAATATTTCCATGACAACCACCACAGCTTTTCACCAGAAGTAGCATTAATTTTGATAGTGCAGAGAAGATCCAGGATTTACCATTTGCTATGAAGAAATTACCATGGGTGAATTTTAAGTGACCCTTGAAAAGTTTTCAGTTAAGCCACAACAAAGCTGCTGCGGATGATGAGAGGCAATTTGAAGTTGTCTCTATGGTTTAGTCTAGGAGAAAGGCTACGTCCTGAGAAATGGAAGGAGATTTATAGAAAACAATCCTTGAATGATTGTAACAACTGACTTAGAATTTTTTTAAGACAGTAAATAAAATAATTCTTTGTGTGCTCACACTGGATAGGTCTAAAGATGCTAGCAGTAGGTGCGGACTAGATGAAATCCTTAATGTGGTCATTGAATTTTTCACCAGTAGTCAGGGAACCTGTAAAAGAATGATGAAGAAAGAATTGATTTTAAGAGGTATTGAGGATTTTACAAAAGCTACTTTTAGAAAATAACTTTGGATTTGATAGCATTACAGGTAAGATAGCAACGTATCCACTTTATAAACCTGCTTGTGTGTTGGGGTTTTGTTTATTTATAACCAGTGAGGGACTACTGTGAAATGAATTATTAAAATAATTAATAGTGGAACTCGTAACTTCTTGGTGGTGAAGGGAGCTCAATTTTTTTTACCTTTAATAGAAGAAACAGCCTTCTCAGTCATTTGGTAGGAATTTGTAGGAAGGCTTTACTCCTGGTGTATACAATACTTTATTTTGAAAAGATTTTAAGTGTACTCAGAAAATAGAAGAGAGGGCTGGACAGCAGAGTGAGCTATCCTGAAAGTCAGAAATTAGCATAGCCAAAAGTTACAGCTCAAGATTATGATGTGTGTCATAAATAGAAGATAATTCTTAACTTACAAAAACAAAGAAAATTATAAAAATGTGAGGGGTTGAGGTAGTCAGAGAATTCAAATAATCCAGTAAATGTTGTGCCTCTGTTTTCAGTAAATGAAATTATATTATAAAATAAAATGAGAGAGGGCAAACAGAGATCTGAGAATGAAATTAAAATCCTTTCTATTTCGATTCTGACTTTAAGGAAATAAATTATTATGCAAGTTAGGAGATGAGGGAGAAAGTAGGCATATAAGTGCAATAAGGAAGAATACGCTGAGAAAACTTGGTGATGATGGAGTTGGATGGTGTCACTGATGTTCAGAAACATTGGAGCATCATATGGAGGGGTTACATAGTAGAAATTAGATGAAATTGTGTAATAAGAAATTAAGATGCTCACTGTCAAGGATGTCTTTAAAATAAGAACTTTCAGGGACTGAGAGTGAAGGTGTGAAATGATCACAGGAGCTATTGAAGTCCTGAGATCTCAAATAAAAGCAAATGTAATTTTGTGAATTTGAGAAGACATGTTTCAGATAAAAATGGAGAATTATTAATAATGTCATGAAAGGCCTGAGATCTTATCTGGGCTGTGGCTTATGCCTGTGTTTGTTCATCTTCAAGGGCAGATTGACTGGAGTGGCTGCAAAGCTGTTTTTCTGTTAGATGAGTCCTTTTAGTCCATGGTTGTTCATGTAGTGTTTGAATTAATTTTCTTAATACTAAAATATATAAAATACTTATTTCAGAATGCTTTAGAAACAAAATAAATTTTATACTTTGGGTATTTATTAGCCTGGATTTTTTTTTTTTTACAATTAAAATCCAGGGCTTCTGCAAGTAGCCTGTATGTGTAATATACAGGTAGTAGTCACGTAAACTGAAAACAGAAATAAAATGTTATTGCCAAGCATATAGGAATAAACAAGTACACTTTAAGCTGAGACACCTAAACGCAGGATGAAAAGGGTCTCTAAGCTGTTAAGAATGATATAGGGAACTACTGGCATTCTTAGATTTGTCTTTTTGTAGGACCTTTATTTACGAAAAAAGTGCCATTTCACTAAGAGCCTTTTCAGCAGAATTAGGCTGCTGAATTACTTGCCTATATACTCAGGTTTTTATGTTACATTCAGTGCAATCTGTCACTGACTGATCTTGAACACAGTAGTGTTGTGTTCCTTAACAGGTTTAAAATTTCAGTTGGCAGAATACAGTAACGCTTAAAGTGATGCCCGAAATGTCTTCTGTGAAAGTCAGTTCTTATCATCACAATTCTTACAAACGGTTGTCAGGTAGCAGCAACTTGAAAAAAAGACTCTATAAGAAGCACATTTGGGTATCATCTCTTTTTTTTTAATCTCTTAAAACTCTGTGCTAACTGAAAGATAAGGAGGTTAGACTAGGCTTGATTATACATTTGATGTATTTTAAATAGGAAACCTAAGCTGTTGAGAGTCTGTATACACTCATGTTGCTCCATTTTAAAGTAAAAAGTGCACAGGAGATCATTTATCGCCTGGTGATTCAGTGCTTATGGAAGTTGAGGTAGGTAGCGTATTTAATACAGCACATTAGGGCATTTAAAAGAGACCTTTAAAAGTCCTGTGGAGTAACTTTTTATACAGTGTAGTTTCCTAAATTTTGTATTAGAGTTTCAGGTATTTGCAATATATTGGAGATTCTGCATCTGTTTGAAGATGCATGGAAATACTGAGATGTTTAGAATTTGTTTTCAAATTTTTTTTGAATTTAAAGTGGGGATGTAAGGAGGGAAGCAGCAGCAGAATTGAGCACTGAGATTAGAGACCTGATCTGCAGCCCATTGATTGAAGCTGGGGAACTTTCCACTTAGCTATTTATGCTAAGTACCTCTGAAGTGCAGCATTGCACATATGGAAATTATCATGTGTAGATACACATGCTGATCCACTGAGTTACAGAAGACAGGCATTACTTGGAAATCGTAAACTAAAAAAGGCCCTTCTGCATAAACTGTGGCAGGATTAGAGGCTGGGGGTGGGGAGGAGGGGAAGAACAGCACTGCTTGTTTTGCAGGAGTGAGCATTTTCAGTGGTTTAAACCATCCTCATCTTAAATTTCTCTCACCATTTCATTTTTCTTGTAGGTCTTGTCTCAGTAGAGACAGGGTTGTGTCGAATTGACTTAAAATATGGATTTGGAGTACAAAAAAGCCACTGTACTGACTTGCAAAGTGAATTAAGCTAAAAAGCAGCTTAAGATCCTTTCACTCAAAAGTGAAGACAGGGAAATGTAATTAGTTTGGCTAATTCCCCATATGGAGAAATGTAAAGATTTATTAGTGCAGCTTTCTTTTTAGCCCAAGCTGTATCATCTGCCTTATGGATCTCAAGTCTTTATTAATAAAATATCTAACTTATTCATGCCTTGCAGCCTCAGAGTAAAATAAAAAATTGTCAGCAAAATTTTGCTGTACACCTTCTAAGTTACTGGAAGTTAGGGATATAGGACGACAGTGGCTGGAAGAAATTAGGAGATGGAGACAGACTATAAAATATGTTGTTGAAGAGTAATTGTTTTATGACTTCTTTTTCTCATTGCATTGTATAGGAATCATGACGACCTCAGGAAAAGAAAATTTCCGGCTGAAGAGCTACAAGAACAAATCTCTAAACCCTGATGAGATGCGTCGTAGGCGGGAAGAAGAGGGTCTTCAGCTCCGGAAGCAAAAGAGAGAGGAACAGGTACTGTACTGCAGTTGTGGTCACTGTAACCAGTCCTTGAACGGTCTTGTCTTGCACTGTCTCTTGTTCTTTGCTTCTCCCAAGCCCCTTCTTAGTTATTCCTGCTCTGCCAGCTTCATACATGGGCACTCTGAAACCAGAGTCACTTGTGGACTTTATTGTCTGTTTTGCAGGCGGTACAAAACTTAAGAGTGCTCCTCATTAGCTCCAGTGTAAGATGGGCCAGAGCAGCTTAAAGATGATTTGAACAAAGCTGTCTGACCTTGCACTGAAGGTGATTGAGGAATTCCAGGTTTGTTTTTTTTGGTCTGGGGTTGTGTGTGGGGTTTCTTTTGTTATTTGTTTTGTTTGTTTGTTCGTTCTAGCTGAGTTGTGGTAGCTCTAATCTCTGTTCAAAGAAAGGCAAGCAGATGAGAAATGGAAACAAACACTACAGCTAGAATAGAAGGACTAGAATGTCTGACCGAGTCCTTATAAGCTGCAGTTACGATTTTCTTGAGGGGAAAATGTAATTTGTTGACCTGATTCTTCGGAGTTTTCTGTCTGATTTTCAGTTCACTTATGGATTTATGAAAGTTCATGCAATGTTTATGTCTATACGGCTGGTACCTTGAGTAGTGGATTTAGGATGTGTTGTAAGGAAAATGATTGAGAAAAATGCTTAGAAACAAAGCTGCTCTACCTGCTCATGTCTTGCTAGTTCTTACTACTTCATTCACATTGCAAAGTGTCAGGTGCTCTGCAGGTTTAATGGGGAAACCGCAGCACTGCAAATGCTTTTATCTTCTAATAAAAACAAGTGGCACTGAACAGTTCTTCCTTTGTTCTTAGTTGTGTTCATTAGAAACTTTAAGGGATTGGTTCAATTTGAAACATAGTTATAACAAAGCCTTTTTCATCAGTGCTGAGGTTTCTGGAGTTAGAATGAAGATAGTAGTATGTTTGTGTTTGGAATGGTAGGTCAAGTCTGTAATCTGTTCCATTTAATATTGTTTCCAGTGTCAGTACCAGATGCTTTCAAGGAAAGTCAGGGGTGAGTTCTGAGAGGGACTTGCAATACTTGGTGTTGATTTCACTTAGTAACTACAGATAGCATTTCCAGACTACAGGTAGCACAGTAGCACAGAATGTTGTCAGTCTTACTTGTAAAGCCATTACTAAATTAGGAAAATGGTGAGAAATTTTCTGTATTATCTGTGCCTCTGACCTCCTTTGGACCTGATTACCACAGGCTGGCTAAATAAAGAGTGTGGCAGTATTTTCTTCTGCTAAAGAAAATTGTTAGTCTTAACTGGACTAAGAGTGGAACAGGAATGGAACTGCAAGCAGAATCTGCAGCTCTGCAATTTCCAGCCTTGTGCAAGTACTTGTCTTTTATGTATTTGGCACATAGGTCACTGAAGTTTGTTTAAATTCCCTCATTTTGGGGTGGGTCTTTCTGTTTGGTTTTTTTCTTTTTAAGCTGAACACTTCACAAAGACAACCTCAAGGCTCTGAATTTTCATGTAACTTGCCAACATACGAATTTTTGTTTAAGACTGTATTTGAGCATGCTTGTTGAGCTTGAGTGGGCACATCATACTGTAGCTCAGAAGGAAAAGCATTCCACAATGATGCTGACCTAGGGTTGCTGTTGACTTAGTAGTTTTGCATATTGTTTCCCCCCATCTTCTCTGTAGAGAAGAGTAACAGCAGATCTGTGTTAGGGCTCGCTCTTGCTTGTCTGCAGTGGTGCAAATCTGACATGGCTTAATACTAGAGTCTTGTTTCCTGAGCTCAATAGGCCAAGCAGCACCCCCAAACCCATCTTTATCATTGCTAATGTTTCTTCCAGTGAGACAGCTGGATTAAGGAGGAGAAGCTGTAGCCTCTCTAGCTCTCCTCATAACATCTCATACTGGGTACCTTCTCTAAGTGATAGCAACTAATTTCTGTTCATCCTAGTATAAATTTCTTTAGACCAGTCCCATGTGATCAATTTACAAAGCCCCGTCTACCACAGTTACTCAACTGCCCTAGCCCTGCAGGTGTTCTGTGAAGGTCTGTTATACACAGCAGTTTTTCAGGTCTTGGAGCCCCAGCATCCTCTGCCACTCGGTTGCAGGAAAGTGGTTGTCTGAAAGCTAGTGGTAGCTCGTAGATGGAGTGGCACAGTGAAGAAGAGAAGGGAATACCAGTGAAGATTTTCCAGAAATGTTGGGAAGCAGTAGTCTAGCACATTGCTGTTTTCATCTACTCCATGACTAGATTTCCTTGCTTACTGTCTGGAGGAATCCTATAGCCAGTATAGTAACTTCTTTCAGGTGACAGCGTATGTCATTTTAATTGCAACCTAACATGACATGCTGTGTCTATAATTGCTATACAATATGTATTAAATACTTTCTCTCTTTAGTTGTTTAAACGCCGAAATGTTGCAACAGCCGAGGAAGAAGCGGAGGAGGAAGTCATGTCAGATGGTGGCTTCCATGAGGCTCAGATGAACAACATGGAGATGACTTCTGTAAGTGATAAGAAAGGAATACAGTGTTTGTTGAAACTGGGCAGGGCTGTTGTGCAGTGACTTGAGGGGAATGGAATTTCAGAAAGATGCGAGAAACAGCATTCAAAGAGCATGTGGGCAGCTCTCAAACACCTGTCTCAGGTGATTTACCCTGAAACGGATTACATGAGAGAAGAATGTTATGGATAGCGTGAGTGATTGCTCACAGTGGATATGCTTTCAAGAAAATAAAATAAAGTGTCATTGTTCCAGGCAGGCTGATTGCTTCCTGGTTTTGCTTTCACTGATATGGGTGATTTTATCAACTGTTGCCCACAGTTGCTGGGGTGTTTTAATCTGAAATTCATAATGTTTGAAATATGAAAATGCAAACCAGGCTATGTGTTAATTGCCAGTTTACAAAGTAAGAAGAGGCTGGGTGGAAATCTCTGTTAGCAGACTTTCAAGTGGCACAAATTTTAGCCAGTGTTGGAAACACAGCTAGACCTAGCTTATCCATCTGCATGTGTCCTTGAACTCAATTCCAAGCTGGAAATTCATCCTATAGAAAAACCTTTTCGTGGATATCAAACTTTTCTGCTTTCTCCCTGGAAAGCAAAATGGCAAGAGATTCAGGCTGTAATGGAGAGGATAAAGGAAAATGCAGTACTCACTTAGTCTGACTGCTGACCTTCACACTTATGTCTGTATTCAAGAGTACGCAAATGATGTTTTCTTAGAAGTCAAGCTGGGTTTGGTTTCTGTTGGTGCTTATACCAGTCTCAAAAATAACTAAGAAGCAGGGAAATGCCTATAAACAATGTGATAGATCATTAATAGAATATATTGCTTTACTCTTCAAAATAGTTTTTAAACATCAGGTAAGTCCTAAATACCATTTGATTGATGGTGTGGAAGCTTATATGAATTGAATAGGTGGTAAAAAGTAAGGAAAGGAGCCTATCTAACTGAGATAAGTACTACTATTGTACACTTTACTATTTTAGGTATCAGTAATTTTAGGGTCTTAAAAGTTAGAGCTGTTAGACTGCTGTTACAGACAAAGCTTAAGTATTTCCAGCACTGTCATCTGTCTCCCTGTCTAAGTGTTTGGATCAGATCTGTCTTAAGGATTTAGATCAGGAGAAATGGAAGAAAAAAATCTGACTTTCCTATGCTTCTTTATGTAGATTTACATGTGTGATGAACAGAATGTCAGATTTTACCTGGCATAAGGAAAGTCGCTGACTAAATTTAGTTGTATTAGGGGAAACGGTCAGTTTTGTGGAATATTTAATACTCTGTTTGATTATGATGACAAGCATTAGGTTTGTCAACTCTTCTAAAAATGGCAGGTCTTGTACAGTTTGGTGTAAGAGAATGAGTAAAAATGTACATGTTGTAGAAGTCTAAATAATAGCATAATCAAAGTGATGTTGCATAACAGTAATTGCTATTCCAATTTAAACTAGCTTTTGTTGAAGCTGACAATTTTGCATTTATCTTAGAGGAGGTGAGGTAGGAAAAGTGAGAGAATACCAGTGCAAGGTTCTGAAGAGTAATTTTCTTGCCATAGCATAAATAAAATATGAAATTTGGCTTCCAGAGAAGAAAAACTGCTTTTAAGAATGATGCTGCTTATGTAGATGTACTTGTACTATGACTCATTTGTTGTCCATACTGTTCTTATCTAGGGTTTTACTCAGCTGAGAGTTAAACTTGTTACAGTTTAGGAAATGTTGTATCCTTTTTTCTGATAATCCCAGATTTTCTTTTCCCTCTTGTTCTCTGTCATTCTCATTCTGACTCTTCCACCTGAATCCTAGAGTGCAGTCATCACCTCTGATATGATTGAGATGATTTTCTCCAATAGTCCAGAACAGCAGCTTTCAGCCACGCAGAAGTTCAGAAAACTTCTTTCTAAAGGTAAGGGTTGAAAGGTAAGGGTTTTCAAGAAAAATGTAGAAGTGTCCCTGGAATATGTTTTGACTTAGACAGCAATAAAGATTGAGTTTCATACAGAATTGTTTGGATGAAGCTCTGTTTTGCCAAATGTCAGCTAGGTGTATGTAATAGTCACTTCTGTTCTTGAAATCTGTAAAACTACTAAATGATGCAGATGTGATCTCTGCTCTGTATTGTAAGTGTAAGTATTGTAGACAGTGTTTCTCTTTATTGCTGAAATATACTGCTTTACAGAAGCTGAGCTCTGTATGTGCATAAGCCAGAGTGACTGCAGAAGCACTGCTATGAAGTTGCTCTGTCTATGTTACTGAGCACCTTAGTGTTTTAAGTCATATTGCCTCTAAATTCACTTTTGATGACATATATGTATCCATTGCCTTTTAGTATAGGTAAAGCACTACTGCAGAAAAAGAACATGTTTTCAGAAAAGAGGAGTCAGTATGTCATTGAATATTATTGTGATGCTGTAACTTGAAAATTTCCCAACAAAGAAATGAATGTATCTAACTTTGCTTTTTATTTTAAATAGAACCAAATCCCCCAATAGATGAAGTCATAAGCACACCAGGAGTGGTGGCCAGGTTTGTGGAGTTCCTCAAACGAAAAGAAAACTGTACATTACAGGTATACAAATATAAATATATCTATCTTCCTATATTACGAAGGCATTCTTCACTAGTATAAAAAAAGCTATTTAACCTTCCTGGTTTCTAGCAAGACCTGTGATGGGAACAGGAGAGAGGCAGACAGACATGTCTGAGTTGTGCTGTGTTATGGCTAGGATGTGGTCTTTGCTTTTGCTCATGAAACAAAAACAGAGTTTGAAATTTGGACCTCAACAGGTGAAGAGCTATTAAATGAAACTTTAGTGTTTGTCTTTTCTGTACTACAGTTTCAAATAATTAGAATTATGACTTGAATTTTTTATTAAATTAGAAAAAGTTTAGAATTAGAATCTGTAATGATAAACATAGAAACCTTGAAACTTGATTTGATTTGAAAAACTTTATTGTCTGCTACAATGGTGGTTAATTTGTCTTGGACTTGCTTCTTGGAGCTTTGGCTCATTTCCAGCTGTATCTTTTTTCTGGTCAAAGTTCTTTCTTCTGGACTAGTAGAAAGTGAAAGAAAACAAATCCTGTAGTAGAAGAAAATAATTTTAACAAGTAGGTTAAGTATATAGGTTAAAATCAGTGTTCCTTCAAAATGCGTAAGGCACCAAGTTTGTTAATGCCATGTGAAATCCAAATTTTGTTGAGTGGATATATGAAAAAAAATGTGATACTTTTTTTCCTTGCACATTAGAGAAAAGGTCATTTATAGGAATTACTTTTCAAATTGATATCCACAGAATTTGAAAGGTCTGTTAGCTACTTCTGGAGAGCCTATGGGCAGTACCTGATAGTATATATCAGATTTAAGCCAGTTTATTGGTTTGAAACTCTAGTGGAAAGTTTATAAGCAATCTGATACAAAAAAAATGCCTTTCATTACTTATAGGGCCTCTAGCATGGAAGACTTGGACAGTCAGATAAAGGGAAACGAGCTCCTAATATTTGAAGGACGTACTTGAATAGGAAGGGAAAATAAGGGCAAAGGATACTTGAGCAAATGCGGATACATCTCTAGTTTTTAAAACTTAAAAGCAATTGTATTCTAGTAAAATTCTCATGACCTTACTCATACAATGTGTATTCTTTTTTACATGCAAAGAGCAAAAATGAGTCAAAGCTTGTCCTGAAGAGTCTGTAACAAAGCATTTAAAATACAAACCAGAGTACATCGCTCTTGATACTCTGTTCCAACCAGTGCGTTTTCCATCATGCCAAATCTGTCTGTCTGCTTTGGCAGTTCAGGGTCTGCAGGTAGAACTTTTTGCTGTGGTCAGTTAGGAAGCTCCTCTTGACCTCACTTTTTAATATTTGTTTCTGCTTTGTCAATGTTTCCAAAAGTGTTTCTTCAACACCAGCACGGATATTGGACTTCCCATTCTAGGCATTCCTAACTTCAGCCTAGCTGTAGAAGGAGATTTTCAGCTCAGTCTGGAAACATTGAAGTATTTTTTTGCCCAGCTACTACAGTGACTTGTGTGGTGGACTTGTGTGTGTAAACTTCCAAGCTGATGAACTTGGAACTATACGTGACTTTATGCTCCATTTTTCTTCTGTGTTGTCAATGGAATATCCAGTAAAAACCAGACTTTTAGTATCAGTGATAGGAAGGCCTAATTTGTCTGGAATTCCTTTGTCCAGTTTTCACTCAGGTGATTTCAAGACTTAAAAAAAGCTCTCCTTTTCTCCATGGTCGCTTAAACCATATGTCAACAAGTAAATTTGGCCTGTGCGATGTTTGTTTTGTGATGGAAAGAGAAATCTTAAAATAGAATGATATCACACAGATATCAAGATCATCTCTTGGATGAGATTTTCTTCCTGTTAATTAACTTCAATTATCATAAAATATTTTGTTTTTCTATCCTTTGCCATTTGCATGTGGCTGTTCCTTAAATCCTGATTAGGTCTGCAATGGGGAGGGAGGAGCGAAACTCTTACTCAGCTAACTTTTCTAGAACTTACAGCATCTGAAACGACACCTAATCACCTAATTTGTCCTTGATTCTAGTTAAGATGTTGGGAAGAGCTCAGTTTAACAGAACTTCCACAAAAGACGGGGAGATCTTATGATTAACTCATAATCAAAACTTACTTTATAAATAGTTGAAGTAAAGTACAGATTTGAGCAAGGGGAAGTACCTGCTGTTTGGTCTTAAATTTGTTTTATTCTGTTTATCCATAGTGTTTCTCATCCATTGTGGGTGTATGACTGAAGAGAATGCGAGTCTCTGAGGTGTGAATAGTTCAACCTGGTGGCATCCTTTTAGGAAGCCACAGGGCAAGTTCTAAAATACGAGTAAGAAACCTCAGTAGTTGAAAGATGACTAATAGTCCTGCTGCACTGTATCACAAAACACTGGATACTCACTTCAGAGAATGTATAATTACAGGAAAGCAAGTACATTTTATGTTGGCCTTGAGCTCTGGCCTGGACTTTTTGCTCCTAGTTCATTAATGACGAGCCTTGCAGTTTTGACATTGTATGTTTCTGCCCATACTTTTTGTATATTACAACGATATATTTGGGAATCCTTTATTCTGATCACATCTTACCAGAAGATAATTTCTACTTTAGTTGGTCAGGAGCACAGGATTAATTGCATTTTTAAAAGTCTTTAATTATTAATGGCACTTTAAAATGCAGGAGTTGCTTTTACGATTAAATCCTAAAAATAATCCCTTGCTGCTCTTCACAGATACACTTTCCTAGACTAGCTATCAGGACTTTCATTGGAATACTGCTGGATCAACATCAGTTTAATAAAATTAATTAGTAATATCAAAATTGGCAATTTATAGTATGCAACTTTCCTTTTTTATTGTTTATTGATTTTTGCCTTTTTGTTCAACTTTTAGCAGTCATTTCATTCTCTAGATTCTGGATGTATCTGGTAGGATTTAAATTTGCTATTGTAGCATAGTAATTTTTGGACTAAAAAGCATGCAGAAATCTACCAAAGTCTAGATTTCTAGAATCTCTGTTTTCTGAGGTGTGCATTAAGTAGTGTTAAAATTCCCAGTTCAGCTCAGAAAGTTGAGATTAAAAGCAAAATAGATTACAAAAACAGTTAAATCAAAAGGTGCAATGTGTTAATTAAGGATTTCAGGTTTGCTTCAAGTTTTGAATATGAGCATTATACACTGATAACTCTTAATTGGCAGCAATACTGATTGCCAGCGTTGGAGAAAAAGTACTTTGCTATAGTTGCAGAGTTACACTGGAATGTGATCACAAAGTTTTTTGTTTTGTTTGTTTTGGTTTGGGTGTTTCTTTTTTTATATCTCCTTTCCTGTTTGTGTTTTTAATGAGTTTTATTTGCTTTATATCCATCAGGTTTTGTTAAACAATGTTGATAGTGTCTCTCTTCATGCATCTTCAGGAATATCATTGCTGATTCAGTGAATACAGGTATCAGATGTCTTGTGGGAAGACTCATCTCTTGTGTTTAGGTTCTTAGCCAGTAAAGAAATGCAGTAGAACAGACCAAAGGCAATATGGTTGCGCAGCAAGTCACAACAAACCTGATCTTATTCCTGTTAGGAACTTCTGCAAATTTTGTTTTCGAGTGATATCAGTGACTTTTAACTGTGTGATTCTGGTTCTTTGCAAATTGCCTGTGTTAATTAGCAATATCTCATGCTTTCTCTGTGCCAATTCTTTCTGTCTTTAGAAGGCACTGAGTAATCATTTTTTTAGTGTTGCACAGAAAGCTCCTAGTAAACTTTCTTTTGTATTTTGTTTTCCAGTTCGAAGCTGCGTGGGTACTGACGAATATTGCCTCTGGAAATTCCCTTCAGACTCGAATAGTGATCCAAGCAGGAGCTGTCCCCATCTTCATAGAGCTGCTTAGTTCAGAGTTTGAAGATGTGCAGGAACAGGTAAAGATTAAGAATGTTGTTGAGTTTTGTGTGTGTGTGGTGGTTTGTGGGTTTTTTTGGTTTGGTCTTGGGTTTTTAGGTTTGGTTTGGTTTGGTTTGGTTTAGGGTGGGTTTGTTTTTTGTTTTTTTTGCCTTCCCCAGAAAGAAAGTGTTTAGAAGAAATGTAGTGTTCGCCAGTTTTGCAGAACAATCCATTTCTACCTATTATATCTTAAGATGTCTGAGCAAGTATTGCATTTTTCTTTGTCTGGAAATGTTATATTTAGCCACAGCCAATGGGATAATGCATTTTGATCTCTAATGCGTTAATATTTTTCTGTGTATTGAGGAATTCAAGAAGCCTTGCTTAAAAAATTGCTTTAGAGGTGGGAAGTTCATGCTTCTTTCTCGTGAAGATAAAGCATGAATGGAAATTATGGTCTGTTCTCTACAGAGAAAATTATAGTTTGTTCTTTATGTTCCTTACAGAGTAGGTTAATATTCTTTGAGGCCTAAAGGGATCAGTGAGAAGCACAGACCAAACATTTGACACTGTAATTTCTGCATGAGGTCCGCAATTTGTGTTTGAACAAGGATGTATTTCAGCCATATACTCTTGCTTTGAAGACTTAGGATGATGAAATATTAATCATGTTAACAAATAGATTTTCAGTTAATCTTAATCCTAACATGGAAGGATGTACCTTTACTCTACAAATTTGACTAGCTTTGGGTCCAGGTATTTGCTTTTGTTTCATTGTCTACTCAATTAGTAAGCTCTCTGTTTTTTCCTATTGCTACTTACTGACCATAGCTTAAGCTTTTCCTGAGCAAATGGAATTAGGATCTGAATTCTCATTATGAGGGTATTTCTGTGGAGGTTGGTTGATTTTTTTTTTAGTGACCCTTTCCTGAACAGCTCTTTGTGGTGGTGAAATTACAAGCACTGAATATTCCAGTATTACTCTTTCAGCAATGCTGTTTGCAGAGATAGCACCTCATTTTCATTTTTGCTCGATACTTTGGTGTGTAAATATCCAAGATGTCTTTGCGGACTCTTTGCCACAGAAGCTGGCTGCAAGCTCAGGTTAAGCTGATTATCCAATATGACCCATTGTTCTTTTCAGAATCACTGACTACCAGGGTTCAGTTCTCCATCCTGTAAGTGTGACCTGTCTTCTCTGTTCCTAGATGTCTGACCTTGCATTTGGCTGTATTGAGATGCATGACTGGAGAAGTCCCTACTCATAAGCGTTGGATTGCTTTTTGTAACTTGCCTTTCTCTTATAGCTGGCTCAGAATGTACCACTTGTCGTTAAGGTTGCCTAACATTTTCCACCAGATGGAGGTTTTGATTTTTTTTTTCACTTGCTTGTAGCTTTCCAGTTCTTCCACTCTGCAACTTTGCATTTTCAGTGGCCTATCTCTGGCTGAATTATTTTGGAAAAAATTTTTTTTTATTTCAGAGAAGTTTAATTCAGGTGCTTGAGAGATTTTTATCAGAGGAAATAAGTATTTTTTTGGTCCATTTCTTTAGCTGCCTTGGAGGAAATGAGTTTATCTGTTGTATAAACTAGTAATGTGATAGAGAGCTTGCCAAAATGGCAGATAAATACTGTGTTCTGCCCATGTGAAAAATGTATCCAGACTTAGCTGTATGATGCTTTTTAGAGTTTGTTTGAAGGTTGAAATTGGTGGCATTACTTTCCAAATTCAGCCATCGCTTGTACAGTGCTGTTCCTGCAGTATGGTCGGTGCTTTGAGTGTGGTAAGGGCTACTCCTTTTTTTCCTGATCTTCTGTGCAAGAACCAACTTGTTTTTTTATTAGAAGGTTGTTACCATCCCTGCTGACATTCATAGAGCAGGTGGGAAAAGCAAACCTGTTCATAATGAGTTGTGCAGCCTTTAGCTTTAAGATGTGTGAATTAGCAGAAGAGCTTGGGGGCCACGTTTAAGTAGTTTAAATGTCTCCTTCCCCCTCTGCCTCCTAATAAACTGCTGATATGTTAAAGTTCAGATTACAGGCAGATGGAGTGGGAAAATATTACTGGAAAATATTTTTTTATGTAATTCAGGTGCTGAATCCATGACCAGTAAATCCCTACATACCAGTTACAAATTGCGCTGTAGTGAGCTGTGCTAAAGAAGGAAAAGCTACCACTATGAAGTGTTACCTACACCTTTTTATAGTGGGTTTCTGTGCTGCAGGTTTAGAGGTTGCAGCCCTGCTCACAGCTGACTTTGGGTTTCATGCAGACCAACATTAAAGAAATTATTTTTTTTCGGACAGCTTTAAAAATACCCAAACCCTTCACCATAATATCTACCTGCACAAAAATTAAAAGCATTAAGCACTTAAATATTAGCTCTTGTACTTCTGCATTACAGGATAGCATTAGTACACAATTGCATAGTATTTTTCCTGCT